GTGAGAACAGATTCCCCTCGTTTTGTGGCGATTGTGGGGGGGCGGGGGGGGGAGAGACATTTCCCCCTCTTGCTCCCTTAATTTTATAGTGTGAGGTGTGCTTTTTTTTTAGTCTGTTTTACCTTATCCCTATCTTTACTCGATTTTCTCTCTCCCTCCTTTCGCTCTCGAGATACACGTGAGGTCGTGAGCGTAACCGAAGCGAGGAACAACACAAAGTGATAAAAAAGAGAAGAAAAAAAGGAGAAAGAAAGAAAATAAGATATAGAAATCGGACAAACCCAAAGGAAGGATAACAGAATGAGGTTAAGGAAAGGAAGTGAGAGAGAGAGAGAGAGAAGAGGAGAGGATAGAGGATAGGCGAGGATGAGGCGGACCCGTGTGTTTGGTTCTAGGACACGCAGGCGAAAGGAAGGTGGTGCCTGCGTGTGCCTCTACAGTGCCAGCCAGTGACGCGAGTGTTGGTGGCACTGCTGTGTTGGTGGAAATCGCATGAATTTTTTTAAAAATTTCTTCTCCTATCGTACTTATACCTTCGTGAAAGCCTTTCGCGGAAGTGACAGCGATGCGAAAACAAAGAAGAACAGGGTTTTTTTCAGCGGTTTTAGGCCACGGTTCAACCTAATGCTTCTCTCTCCTCCAGCGGTCGGTCGAGGCATCAGCTGATTCCGATGCTCGAGTCCTTGAGACGGGCGGGACTCCGGGAAGGATCTCGCGCTGGCTCTTTCGCTCTGTCTTTCTTTCTTTTTTCTGTTTTCTCTTCTTTTGCTCTTTCGCCTGTGTCTCTTTCATTTCTCTCTTGCTTCTTTGCTTGCTCTTGCTCTTCTTCTCTCTTTTCTCTTTCTCTCTCTCTTCTCTTCTTTCTCTTTCTCTTTCTTTTCTCTTTCCCTTTCTCTCTTTCTCTCTCTCTCTCTCCTCTCTCTCTCTCTCTTCTCTCTCCCCCTCCTCCCTCGCTCGTTATATCTTTCTCGCACTCTTCTCTGTGTTTATGTCTGCCTGCCTCCCTCCCTCCCTCTTCTCGGCTCCTTACCTCCTTCCCCCTCCCCTCCTCATCCTCTCCTCTCTTCCCTCCCTCTCTCGCCCTCGCCTCCTCTCTCGATCCGTCCCTCCCTCCCGCTCCTCCCCTCCTTCTCTCCTTTCTCCCTCTCCCCTCTCCTTTCCTCCTCCCTCTCTCCCTCGTCTCCCCCTCTCCTCCCTCGATCCTTTCCCTACCTCCTTCCCGCCTCTCTCTCCCCTCTCCCTCCTCCCTCCTGCCCGTCGTCTTCTCCTCCTCCTCCCCTCTCTCGCCCTCGTCTCCCCTCTCTCCCTTCGATCCTCGACCTCCTTCCTTCCTCTCCTTCCCTCCTTCCCTCCCTCCTTCCCCTCCCCCTCCTCCTCGCCCTACCTCCTTCCCTCCTCCTCTCTCGCCCTTGTCTCCCCTCTCTCCTCCCTCCTCGCCCTACTCCTTCCCTTCTTCTCTCCTCTCCTTCTCTCCTTCTCTCTTTCCTCCCTCCTCGCCCTACTCCTTCCCTCCTTCCCTCCTTCCCTCCTCCTCTCTCGCCCTCGTCTCCCCTCTCTCCCTCGATCCTTTCCCCTCGCTCGCCCGTTATTGTTCCTGCTACGAAACTGTTTCTTTAGTGACTCCATCACGGATGGAGGTCTCACCTGCGCTAGCAAAAGAGCGAGAGGGAGGGAGAGAGAGGGAGAGAAAAGAGAGAGAGAGAGAGAGAGAGAGAGAGGGAGAGAGAGGGGGGGGAGGGGGAGAGAGAGAGAGGAGGAGAAGGAGGAGGGAGGGATGAGAGAAGGAGGGAGGGAGGAAAGGAGATAGGGAGGGAGGGGGGAGGGAGAGAGAGAGAGAGGGAAGGAGGGAGAGGGAGGGAGGGAGAGAGAAAGAGAGAGAGAGGGGGGGGGGGAGGGAGGGAGAGGGGGAAGGAGGGGAGAAGAGAGAGAGAGAGGGGGAGAGGGAGAGAGAGAGAGGGAGGGAGAGAAGAGAGAAAGAGAGAGGGAGGGGAGGAGAGAGAGGAGGAGAGAGAGAGAGAGAGAGAGAGAAGAGAGAGAGAGAGAGAGAGAGAGAGGAGAGAGAGAGAGAGAGAGAGGAGAGAGAAGGGGGAGGGATGGGAGGAGGGGGGGAGATGAGAGGAGAGGAGAGAGGAGAGAAGAGGGGGGGAGGGAGGGAGAGAGGGGAAGGGAGGGAGGGAGAGAGAGAGAGAGAGGGAGGGAGGGAGGGAGGAAGGAGAGAGAGAGAGAGAGAGGAGAGGGAGAAGAGAGAGAGAGAGAGAGAGAGAGAGAGAGAGAGAGAGAGAGAGAGAGAGAGAGAGAGAGAGAGAGAGAGAGAGAGAGAGAGAGAGAGAGAAGAGAGAGAGAGGAAAGAGAGAAGGAGGGAGCAAGAAAGAGGAGAAGAGAGAGAAGAAGTGGTGTCTGTGTGAGAGAAAGAGAGAGCGAGAGAGCGAAAAAGAGGAAAAAGAGAAAGAGAACGTTCATTCAGTGATCTTGTTATCTCTAAAACCTGCGAAATGTTACTCAAGCGTTTGTCAAGGGGGTGAGGGGGGAGGGGAAGGGGAGGGGGAGGAAAGGAAAGGAAAAGAGGATCTTCAGAAAGGAGAGAAGGGAGATAAGAAGATAAGATGGGGGGAAAACAAAGGTGATAAAAGTGATATATGAGTGAAGAAAAGAGTTTCCAAGACAGTGTGTAAATAATTAAAAAAAACACAATTTTCTCATACGCCTCACGATTAAAAAAAAATAAAAATAAATAAATGGAGAAAACAATATATATAAACAAAATCCCTCCCCCCCCCACCCATACCCAAACAACAATAAAGGAAGAAACAAAAAAACTTATATAAAAAAATCCTTTCTTCCCCCCCCCAGCCCCACCCACCGACCCACCTCCTCCCCCTCACCTCTCCCCCACCCGACCCACCTCCTCCCCCCCACCCCCACCCACCCCACCCCACCCCACCCCACACCCCAAACAACCCCAAAAGAAGGGATAACAAGCAAACAACCGCCTTGGGGGAGACTTACAACGAGTGTACTCTCAGTAGTTGGAGGTAGTACAGCAAGCCAACGAGGGGGGAGGGGGAGAGGAGGGGGAGAGGGGTGGGGGTGGTGGAGGGTTTTGAGAGCAGTGAACAGTGTCGCTTTGTGCTAAGCCAGGTGGGGGCGTGGGACTGTGAGAGAGGGAGAGAGAGAGGAGAGGAAGGGAAGAAGGAAGAAGGTGAGAGGGTGGGTGAATGGAAGGGGGAGGAGGAGGGAGGAAAGAGGGGCGAGAGAGAGGGAGGGAGGAGAGGAGGGAATGGGAAGGGAAGAGGAAAGATGGAGGGAAGAAGAGAGAGCGAGAGGGAATGGGAGGGGAAGGAGGAGGATGAAGGGGGAAAGAGGGAGGGAGGGAGAGAAGAGAGTGGTCCAAGACCGCTTCGGGGATTGTGTAAGTTTTGGACGTGCAGTTATGCTTGTTATTTTTGTTACTGCTTCTAATTTTGTTCTTGTTGAAGTTTGTGGTATATTCTTGTTATTATTGCTATTATTGCCATCATTGCCGTTATATGTTATATCAAAATTATTATCATTATCATTACCCTCATCACCAATATCATCATAATTATCATCATCACATCACCATCACTATAACTATCACCATTACCATCATCCTCATCATTAATATCATCATCATCATATTATCATGATCATCGTAATCATTTCTATAACTATCATCATCACTATAACTATCACCATTGCCATCATTCTCGTCATCAATATCATCACCATTATTATCATAATCATCGTAATCATCACTATAACTCATCATCAGCATCACCATCATCATCACCATCATTAGTGATAATCTTCCCAATCACCATCAATTAAATAGTTACATTACCATTGCCATTATTGCCATTACGATCACCATTAAAATTATCAGCAGCCATATCATTATAAATCTGTTTTCCGTTTGTTATCAAAATCAGTCTTTCAGTCTAACGTTTTTTTTTTTGAAGTGTTGACTATGTGAAAAATTTAATTTTGTGATATTTGATGTGTAGTAAAGATATTTATGCACATGATAATGTAGATGATATTAATGCTCTGTATGTTATGATAGTATTTTAGTAGTTCTAGTAGTTGTTGTTGTCATAATGGTAGTACAGTGATAACAATATGAATAGTATTAGTTGGTAGGCCTATGTAGTAATGGATGTGATGATAATTGCATGAATAGGATATATGATTATTTTTTACTGATACCTATAATGTAGGTGAATGTCATCATCACCATCATCATAACCACAACCCCCACTATCATCACCGTCATCACCAACATCATCGTCATCCTCCTCTTCCTCTTCCTCATCATAATGATCATCACCACAGCATCATTATCATCATCATCATCATTAGCATCATCATCATCATTATCATCATCACATCACCATCATCATCATCACCATCGTCATCGTTATCATCATTACCATCATTATCAATATCATAAATTTCTTCACCACAACTCTCATAATCATCACTCACCATCACCATCACCACCACCACCACCATCACCACCACCACCATCACCATCACCACCATCACCATCACCATCACACCATCATCACCATCACCATCACCATCACCATCACCATCACCATCACCATCACCATCACCATCACACCACCACCACCACCACCATCACCACCACCACCATCACCACCACCACATCACCACCACCACACCACCATCACCACCACCACCCACATCACCACCACCACCACCACCACCACCACCACGACCACCACCACATCACCATCACCATCACCATCACCACACCACCACACCACCATCACCACCACCACCACCACCACCACCACCACCACCACACCATCACCACCACCATCACCATCACCACCACCACCAACCCACCATCCACCACCACCACCACCACCATCACCATCACCATCACCACCATCACCACCATCACCACCATCTTGATCACCATTTCATCAAAATGCAACAATACTGTAATGAAA